CTTTTTCTTTAAATGAATCTTGTGCACTTATATCTGGTAGCCTGAGTAACTAATCTGAAGATAATATCATGTAATACAAGAACCACTGTGAAATCCTATTACTCTGTTTAGTGAAATTTTGTATCATTTCTGATGCTGTTTTTTTCCTATCACTACCTTGTATTCTAATAAATAAATAAATAAATAAATAAATAAATAAATTCAACCCAAAAATTGCCTTTGGAAGGTAGGGCGAGTTAGTAGGAGGCCTTGAGCATTATTCAGACCCTGAGCAAGCAACAAGGACTGGTAAAGCAGAATAAAAAAGTCTGGACAGAAGGAAAACCACAGAGTGATAATTGTAAGAACTTAAAAGAAAGCTGATGCTACCAGGTTAAAAATTAAAAAAAAAACACTGCCATGAGATCAAGTAAAACAAAGAAGATGAAGGATGCCCTTGGATAACCCCGGTGAGGCAATGTCAGTGGGGTGACGGGGAAGAGGACACTCTGATGGGGCTAGGGAAGCAAGAGGAAGGTAGGAAGGATTGACAGTGAGTGTAGATAGCAGCCAGAAGTTCGACTATCAATGACAGCAGACTAAGTTATTGCAGTAGAGGAAAGACCATAGTTTTCACATTCCATCAAGAAAGGACACCAGTGCAAGATGACTCTCTTAAACAAATCCAATAGGGTACGCACTCAAAGCTAACCTAATGGATGCTACTGTCTAGTACAACAAGGGTCTCTTTCACAAAAGAAGTAATTCTTTTCTTTAATTTTACAAATTAAATTTTTAATAACTTTATTGAGAAACAAATAGCAATGAGATAGTTTCAAAACCGATTAGTAGGACAGTTTCAATAATTAATACATTGCATATTGTTGTCTTAGTGGTTATTCATCGTACAAGATGTAGACATAATATCCTGTACACAAACTCTATTAGAGCAAATCTTTCTATTCATTAAATTAAGAGAAAGTAGCTGTATATCTATCCTAACCATTTTGAATATTAAGATAGAAAATGGTCATTCATTTGTATCCCCTTTTTTTGTTTAGCTTTGTCAGAGAAGGGTATTCCATTGTCATTTAAATATTGTAGGTGCGTGAATTCAACAAAACATTCCAATACAGTCCAGTAGTCCATTACAGCAGTAGGTTTTCCATAGCACTGGCAATGTCAGAAGTTGTTGACTTGAGCCTTTCACAGCTCAGCATATTAATATGGCTTTACTTTTTATACTTCATTTTTATACTTTTCTGCCAGATGGTTAAGACCAAGATAAAGCAAGACGTATATAACAAGAAATGTAACTTTGTATCTGATAAAGTCAGTCAAATACCCTCAGGATTTATCCAATTCTCATGAGAATTTCTCACAGAATTCCTGTAGCACAATTTTGAGACAAGAAAATGTGTTACCTCCCACTATTATAATACATACGTTCTAAAATAATGTCTCCAAAATGAAACAAAACTACAGATTAGTGCCCAATCTAAATTCTCTATCATGAATAATGGAAAATAATTATTTTTCATATAAAATTTCACAGAAAAGGAAAGAAATATTGACATGAATCACCTTTCTGTTCACTTATTTTTAATCTCTGTAAAATGCAAGTGTACCAACCATACTGAACATTGGTACTATTCACTCTGACCTCCATAGGGAGTCATTTTAAGAGTAGAGGATTTTAAAAACAAAAGATGCAATGAAAACATTGTGGAAAACAAAAATGGGCCGCAGAAGATCAGCACTGGGACAGTAAATTACAATTCTGGGTCTGCACAAAGATTTGAGAGAATGGAACAAGACAAAGGGTCACTGAGCTGTGTACCCCATGTGCTGTCCTCCCACTCAGAGGGGAGAGGCTTCTACTGGAAGGGAAAATTGGAACGACCCATGTAGCCATTTCCAGAAGCCACTAACATTGGCCATACTGAGCCTTTCATTATCCTCAACCAAATGATACATATTTTTAGGATCAGAAAGCACTTTCCATCTTGTGCAGCAGTCTTTTCACCTCTCCAGTGATTTGAAGGCAATGGTTTCCTTGGTGAATGCTAGCAGAATAGAGGGGAAGGGCTTTGTGCTGCCCATACAATTATAACCAAAGCCCTCGCTGTGTCATCAGTGGGCTGGTTAGGAACAGCCCCAGGAACAGCTCACTAAGCAGCTCTTGATGTCGTAGGTGGCCCTCACCTGCACTCAGATCTGGTGGACGACAGAGGTAGGCATCGCATTTGCCAGGCTGGAGGAAGGTTATGAGAATGCCATGAAGGACTACTATAAGAAGCAAGTGGCCCAGCTCAAAACTCTCATCACCATGTTGATTGGCCAGCTCTCCAAGGGAGACCGCCAGAAGATCATGACCATATGCACCATTGACGTGCATGCCCGAGATGTGGTGGGCAAGATGGTCTCTCAGAAGGTAGGTCCTCCACATCCAGGGACATTTCTTCTTGTGAGCAGCAGCACTGTGGGAGTAACTCATGCATGGCCAAAACATGTGGCCCTGGAGTATGCATGGCAGCTGGGGACAGAGTCTGCCTTTTAAAATTTCCAACAAAGTAGTATAAAAATGGTTCTGTACTCATGATGACTTGACTTAAAAATTTTTTACTCTGCAATGGAGTAAACATGTTATGTACTCAGAGGAAACTGTACTTTCAGTATAGTAGTCAATAAATTACATGAGCTATTCAACACTTTATGTTAAATGATTTTGCCCAACTGTCAGCTGATGTTCATGTTCTGAAAGTTGTAAGACAGGACAGGCTGAGCTATGATATTCTATAGGGTTAGGTGTATTACATTCACTTTCAAATTAAAATATTTTCAATGCAAAATACTTTCAATGTATAATTGGCTAATGGACATAACTCCATTGTAAGTCAAGAAGCACCTTACCGGGGTTTGATCCCCGGTCCCACACGCCGTGCCAACCCTGCCCTCCAGGGCACACTGAGCTGGAGGCTGAGTCTGGGTGTGGTGACATATGCCTGTAATCCCAGAGCTGGGGAGGCTGAAAACAGGAGAATCACTATGAGTTTGAGCTGTGTAGTGAGACCCCATACTAAATACATTAAAAAAATGAAAAGAAAAAAAAAAGAAGCACCTATAATCAAAGCAGTTTGTGCTTTCTGTGCTACAGTAGCCATAGCACACTGCACCCTTAGTGGCAGGCAACACCCAAGTCACAAAAAGTTGTAGGAGTCCTGTGGCCAGAAGGCCACATTCTATCTGTTGAGCACTGTGGTTCACCCACCTGCTCTGCTACTCCCTCCATAGGTGGACAATGCCCAGGCTTTCCTCTGGTTGTCCCAGCTGCGTCACCGTTGGGACGATGAGGCCAAACATTGCTTTGCTAACATCTGTGATGCCCAGTTTCTATATTCCTATGAGTACCTTGGAAATACACCCCGCCTGGTGATCACACCTTTGACGGACAGGTGAGCACTTCTGTCACCTACTTGTGGCCATGTTGTCCTTTGGTTCAAGCTATCCAGTGGCTACTGAGGGTCAAGTTCACCATCCCTTGCTATTTGTTCACACAGCTGCAGGAGGAGTACCTGACTCAACACTCGGATGGACAATAAAACTCAAAGAATATAGGCAGAGCCTTTCTTGGAATAAACCCCAAGCAAATCAATGAACCATAAGTTTTGGAGGAAGTACTAGGCAGGGGACATGTCGGGCTTCTAACATAAGCTCTAACATATACCAGCTATTTAGCCATGAAAGAATTGAACTGTTTTGTCATCTGAAATGGAGATAGTAACTCACATTTCACACGACTTATGTAAAAATAGGACAATAACACTTGCACAAAGTTTACCATCTAATAGTGCTGAGTAACTAGTATTATTTTCTTATCATTGGTCAATCTACTGGCACTTTTATTTAGCACCTCTCATGCCAAAAATATGAAGGTATAAGCAACACAATCCCAACTATTAAGGAGCTTACAATTTTTGAGGGACATATTTCTTATCATTCATATTAATTCATGCATGGAAAAATTACAGCAGTCACTGGAAATATTAAGATGACTTCAAATAGTTTTGCTCCTAAACTGCAATTCTAGTGAAGGAAATAAAACATGTGTGGAGAAAATTTAAATATTGCACAGGAGAAAAATACAAGGCCATAGTACGCAATAAGGGCTTAAAACCATATGCTACAATGCTCCCAATATGTGACACAGGATTGAGTCATCTGAGCAGAGGTCTCACTCAGGTTAGGAAGATGAAGAGAGAAACCTTTCAGGGAACAGAGAGTGTGTGAGGGATATGTTGCATTCTAAAGGGAGACTGCAAAATTCCTATCAGAGTGTCAATAAAATTTTACCTAAATCTGTTCATGTGTCATTTTCTCCTGTTAAGAAGAGCCACTGATCTGTTCATTGTTAAAGTAGATTTCCAAAAGTTAAAAAGCTATCAATAAACATTCCTGGAAAACAGAATATTGTGGGCAGATGCATGGAAATGGGAGGACACAGTATACATCTTCCCAGGAGAAGAAAAGAATTTCTAGACATTGGGAGACACAGTGAGTCATCAATGAGGCAGACTGAAGAGTGGGAAAGATACGGTCTTTACCTAGAAGGTGATGATAAACTATTGAAAATTTTTCATAAGAGGAGCAAAACAATGAAAACTGTACTTTATAATGATTTATCTGATAGCAGAGCAGAGGCAAGGAGTGAGATGGCAGGGCAATAATGTTAGGAGAAACATATTTCAACTCTGCTGAGATTTCTGTAAAGTCTGCTAGAAATTTGTACCCATGCCACACAATACCCTGAATACTCAATCACCTCTTCAAAAGGGTGATGTATCAGCATGACTAGCTCACCAAAGGAAGGATTTGTAAGTAAGAAGGCATTGCTACAAGTGATGAAAGTTAACATGGACAGGTAAATTCTGTGTCAGCTTTTCCTAATTATTTTTCCAGTTTTCGTATTTCGCTTGTAGCCAGTTCTTCTAATATGTTTACAAATATATGATAAATATTTCCAAATTAGTTAAATTGTGATCATGGGTAGAAGATGAGAAACCCAGAGCACTTGAAAATTCCAACTCATTCCATAAATAAAGATCTGGTTTCTCTGTTCCTATGTTCTTCATTCCTTTGATTTGTTTTCTTGCCCAAACCTCTTCCGCATGGAGTCCCACTCAAATCATTTCTCTTGTATTCTTGAATCATTCTTTCTTATGAAACCTTGTAGATGTCATATCACGATCTGGGCCTGGTGATTCCTGTTAACTGTCAAGACACCTCACCCCCTATACCTTCTTCCTGCCTTTTGATCACTGGAAGTTCACACCACCTTACAGCCTTCCAATTCCCGGTACCTTCTGCCTGGAATGTCATGTTTTGGCCCTCAGATCCCCCAGGTCCTCCTCTTTCTTCTTAGTTCTGAGAAGCAGGACCCGATCTTTCCTAATGGACAACCTCCTCACCCTACAAAACACACAGCAAATAACCCCAACCAAACTCTGCTCATCCTACGCCACCAAGCAACGGACTTCATGTGCTTGTTTGATTGCTTGCTAGCTGGCTACATTCTTAACTGTAATCAAGGTTCTCTGTTGGGCTTGTGTGGGAGGTTACCAGCACAAATGAATAAAAGTTAAGATTTAGTTGTTCAAATTATTTTTGGGAATGTTTTTACTTGGCGCTTTAACCTACAATTTCTCCTAATATAGTTTTTTTTTTGTTGTTGTTGTTGTTGTTGTTGTTGTTGTTGTTGTTGTTGTTGTTGTTTTGTGGGGCTGGGACTTGAGCTCAGGACCTTGTACTTGCCAGGCAGGCATTGTACTGCTGAGCTATATCCCCAGTGCCCACAAAGTGAAGATTTAGTATTGAAGAAGCAAGACTATAGGATCAATAAGGGCAAGTTGACTGAAAGGAGAGATCTACCCAGCACTCTTTCTTAGCTCTTTAAGAACTATTGGTGCCTGGGATAGTAAAGATAACAGTAACTGGGGATCTGAAGTCTCAAGAATGTTACCTGGGATTTGGGGGGCCCATTTAATGAAGCTCCTCCTACCATGTGTTGAAGGAAAAGTTTTTCACCTCAATTGCATTCGGACTGGATCCTCTCCAGTATCTTTGTCTTCTTGATGATTCTTAGCAAGGCAACTATTAGTAGGGAGGAAATATGGTAAAATACTTCCTTTCTCAATGAGTTGTCCGCCTATTGTGGAACATGAGCTAATAGTTTGGGAATTTATGTCTCTTAAAGCAGAATAATGAAACCATGATATATTTGAGTGATTTAAATAATGTATGTCTCTCACTGTAGATTATATGTTCCCCTATTTCATAGAAGAGGCAATAAATCCTATCTTAGAAATAACTCATTGTCAAAACATTATCCTTGCCCTCTATAAGGCATTCAGCATAACCATGGTGTAAAGGCCTTTAAATTCCAAAAATTTGACTGTGATTTGCTTTCTGCTCTCAGGACCCAACACTGTGTCTACCCCATAACAGCCTTTCAAGATGTACTTGCTGAACAAAGGCAGTGCAATAATTTCTGATCCTCTGGATATGGACCAGTCTTCCTACCACATTCAGAATATTTCCTCCTTTCACTGTAACATTCACATATTATCATTCCATTTGATAAAAAGTACAAGACTCTTTTATTTCTTTAGTTCTTCACACCTGCATAAGACTAGAAAAAGATAATTACTTCTTTGGAATTTAAAGGTCTCTACCATGGTCATGCTGAATGCCTTATAGAGGGAAAGGGTAATGTTTTGACAGTGAATTATTTCTAAGATAGGATTTATTGCCTCTTCTATGAAATGATGCAAATAAAAATTTAAATGAAGATTTGCTTCAAATAATGGTGAATACCGTGTAGACTTTGACCTTGTTTTGTTCATTAAATGCATTTCTGACAAAGTAGTATGTGTAGTTGAGTATTTATATGGTAAATTCCATTTTCTCATAAACTTCTATTATTATCTCAAGAAATGTTTTCCCCAGGGGAAAAAGAAGAAAATTGGCCTCCATATAGGAAAATCACATTTTAAAGAGCATTCAACCTTTACTGGTATGTAGCGTAAGTACATTTAATTCTCTTCTGCCAGAAGAATTAATCAAATGGACAATTGATCAGTACAACCTTTGCACATTCATTAAAAGCACTCCTGTTGTACAGTACATCCAACTGATTATGCTATTTCTTTGGAATTTCTCACAGCCTGGATGGGGCTTGAATGTATAAGTAGGTGCAATGGCTCAGCAATTGTCACAAGACTTTGGCACAACAGTAAATGGAAGAACTAAATGGAAATATTTTTTCAGGCTGAACAAAAGCAATTCTCACAAGTCACTTGCTAGCCTTTGGGTGCTCTCCTCCCCTCTCTTCTCCTTCTCCCACCTCACACACAGATGCCTCTTTCTGCCCTATGCTGTGGTAAGTACTGTTCTAATTAACTTCGCATCTTTCTTGAGTGCCTCTTAATTTCTCAAGCACTACTGCAAGTAGGTGAGATGTAATTGATGCCATAGTCTGTGAAGGTGACTTACTGGACAAGAACACAAGAAGCAAACACTATGCACTTCCTTTGAAATATTTGTCTGACATTTTCATTGGAGGAAATTTGGAAAAATTTAGCTATCTACAGAAAGCAAATTTGTTTCTTTCTACACATAGTTTTTGAACAGTGAAAGTGAGCTCATATGCTCTATTAAAAAATCAGTGATTTACTTAACACTATATAGTGTGTATTACATAAATAGTCTCCTCTAAAATATTTCAGTATCTGAATTGCAGTCTATTTACAAGTATCCCATAAAGTTATATAATGAGTACATTATGAGGTATTTGTTATGTCTAAGCTTTTATTGTTAAAAAATAAAGCTGCAGGAATGTCTGTGTAAATGTACCAAATTCATGATGGTTTCCCCAGGATAGATTCTGAAAAGCAAGATCATTAGATAACATACATTTACAAATTTTTCTCGAAACATATTTTTTTCTATTCTTTGTGGTAGTTTATGATATTACAATGCCTTAAATAGCACAATTATGATGGTCTAATATCTTGTTAGTCCTACTAGAGGTACACCTCGTTTATATGTGTATGTCCTTAATTACTCAGTCTTCACAATTATGTATTCATTGGCTGTTAGATTGACTGTTATTTAGTGAATTCTTACATGATTACTCGTTTTTCTGTTTTGTAAAAATTACTTTTACGCATAAAGAGTCCTTATTCCTTTCTAGATAAATTTAATAATATATATATATTATTCTGTTTTAATTTGTTTTACTTTTCCTTTAACCTTTTTTAATTCTTTGGGAAATATTTTGACTGTTAAGCAAAATGGTCAAAACATTTTAGTCAAAACATTTTAAGTACACTGTGCAAATGTGAGACCCCCAACTCAAACCAATATAAGCAAAAAAGAAGTCATCTCATATATTTGC